TAAATAGATGTAATAAAAAGAAATGTTACTAATAAATGTCATATTATTTATAAAATAAAATACAAATCAAAAATAGCAAAGATGATTTATATAAAGGAAAATGAAAGAGGCAGAAATCACAGCACCAGATATTGAGACAGCTTCAAAGCCATCCTGTCTAAAACAGGGCAGGATTTACACATGGATGAATGAGCAGTTCATCTGAGCATAACCACAGTCCAGAAAGAGAGCCCCAAACAGAAAGCACATATGTTGTAGGAGGAGGCTCATTGTGGCACAGAACACACAAAATAGTTAATAAGCGGTTACATGGAAACAAGCTCACTTGTTTTAGAGACTTAAAGATATTGGTCCTCAACCTCCTATTGCATCTAAAAGTCCCTCCAGAGAGAATTTAAATAATTGTGACATACAAAACTATGGAACAAACTAAAGAAAATATAAAAAAAAATAGTGGGTTTGTGATTTGTGGGTGAAGAAAAGTAGAAAACTCAAAATCACAAGTCTAGTTGGGAAAAAAGTGGATCCAGCTGAATCGTTCTGAAGAAAGATACTTCTATTTGTTGAGAAAAATCACAGACCAAACTGTCAGATAAAAAGAGATAAGTAAAAGAATACATTTAAAGATTCCATGACTGAAGAACAAAGCACAACGGCCTGGTAAAAAAGTCAGGCTCACCCACAGGCGACGAGGAATTCCCCTCTGTATGCTATGAACATGTTTTATTACCATTAGTTTATTTTAAAAAGCTGTTTTGCTCTATGGCAGGGCAGAATATAGGAAAACGGGAAATCTAAACTGAATGCTGGGAGAAAGACGGTGGAATCAGACAGACACCATGTAGATGAAGAAGGAGAAAGATGCCAGAACCTTACCAGTAAGCCACAGTCTTGTGGCGAAACACAGATGAATAGAAATAGGTTAATTTAAGATGTAAGAGCTAGCTAGAAATATACCTGAGCCATCAGCCAAACAATGTTGTAGTTAATATAGTTTTGTGTGATTATTCGGGTCTGGACAGCCAGGAAACATAAAAGCAATCTCGGCTTACCCACAGGTAAGCCAAGAGCATCAGACTTAGAAAAGATGCCTGGTCATCTGCTAGTGACATTTACTTAATGAAGGGAGAACCAGATGACAAATGTCCCTTTGATGTCACCCCACAGACCAGCCAAGGCAGACAGGCACTAGAAAGAAAGAGCAGGAATGAGCGCTCCTTGGGCTGCTAACCAGGAAGCAAACATCAGTTTTAGTGAACTCAGATGTACAGATTTCCTCTGACCCCAAATCTCCCATTCCTACCACCAGTCCCAAATGTACTGTCCCCTGTACAGAGAAAACCATGCATGAGGGACTTTGACAACATAGGCACCCAACTTCTCCAGAGGGCTTAGTAAGTGGCTCTCAGGGTGTGTGCATGGCAGACACTGGATAGCCAAGTGGGAAACCGTCCCATCTCAAAAGCACACCTTTGGAGCTGGAGAGCTGGCTCATAGATGAAGTGTTTGCAGTGCAAGTGTGAGGACCCGAGTTTGAATCCCCAGGACACACTTGAAGCCAGAGATGCTGCATACACCTGGAATCCAGTGTTCTTAAGGCAAGACGGGAGGTGGAGGCAAGGGAATTTCTGAAAGCTCATGGACCAGCTAGCTTGGTGTTCACAGAGCTAAACAACCAGTGACCCTTCCCAAACAAAGTGGAAGGTGAGGACTGGCACCTGAGGTTGACCTCTGACCTCTACACATACATGCCATGTATGTGCCCACATTCACAGTTGAGTATATCCACACTACATGCATATAATCAAGTCTGCGATCTTCTAAAACCACAAATACATGATATGTGTTTTCTCAGAGAAGGTGTATGTTTAAAAGAAAAAATAACCTTCACAGAAGACAAGCAAAGAAGTCGCTATACTCACTATGTTACATACTTGGGGCTGTGGCTGCCCCATAGAGACAGATGCTTTAACTATGCTAAGGGCTGTGTGTGGGGACATCTCAGTTCAAGTCCCTGAATCACATCAGGTGACCCCTACCCTCATCTATCTCCAAATACATAATCCAGCCAAACACTCTGCTCTCATTCCTACCCACCCATCACTTATCTAATTCTGTTAAGTAATTCTACCTTCCCTTCCCTTTTCACTGCAGAAGAGGTTTTAAAACAACAATCTTGGCATTTGTTCAACAGTTAAGTTGATTAAATTGCACTTACTGAACTTGGCAATTATTGGACTATGCCCAGGGTAGAGTCAAATACACTTATTGATTGGCAGATGGACAAGCCAGATAAACCCACAGAATTACTCAGGCAGAATTGGACTACCACCTTGGTGTCAGGAGGCTGTACCTCTCTGACCAGGAAAACATGAGGCTAATTAATGGGGGTGGCCTGCTGCCCAGGACATTTTCTAACCTACAGAAAAGTCTGGGGGTGTTCCAGTTTGGGAATTCTTTGGGATAAACATGGAAAATCCGGTAGACTTTAACTTCTATGTTCACTGAGAATATTGTAGGAAGGAATGGTGCTGTTGTTGTTGCTGTAGTGTGTTTGTGTGTATGTGTGGGTGTTTGCACTCATGTGTACAGCTGCCTTTGAAGGTCAGAAGAGGGTATCAGATCCCCTAAAACTAGATTACAGGCAGTTATAAGACACCTGATGTAGGCGCCAAGAACCGAACTCAGGCCCTCTGTAAGAGCAACAAACAACAAGCACTCTTAACCTCTGAGTCATCTTTCCAGTCTCCAAAAATGTTACTTTGCGAAGTCTTTCCTTCACAGTTATCTTTGTATTTTATATTCTAGGTTTCAGTTCCAAATGTCGGTCCTTTTCCATAGAGTATAAAACATGAATAACGTTTTAAGTGTCCATACAGTAAGCTCTTATTGTGTGTGTGTGTGTGTGTGTGTGTGTGTGTGTGTGTGTGTGTGTGTGTGTGAGAGAGAGAGAGGGGGGGGGAGAGGGAGAGAGAGAGAGAGAGAGAGAGAGAGAGAGAGAGAGAGAGAGAGAGAGAGAGAGGGAGAGAGAGAAGCGTGCCACCGTGTGCAGGTAGAGGTCAGAGGAAACTTCAGGTGTCGGTTCTCATCTACCTTGTCCGAGACTCTGTTGCGATCTCTCATTGTTCACAGCTCCCTGAGTCAAACTAGCTGCAGGGAAGTTTCTGGTCTCTGCCTCTGTGCAACATTGCTTTATGTCAGCTTCACACAAGATAAAGTCAACTGAGAGGAGGGAACCTCAATCAAGAAAATAATTCCATATGATCAGGCTGTAGGCAAACCTGTTTAGGTCGTTTTCTTAACTAGTGATTGATGGGGAGGGTCCAACCCATCACTGGGCTGGTGGTCCTGGGTTCTATGAGGAAGCAGGCCAAGAAAGTCATAAGGAGCCAGTAAGCACCCTTCCATGGCCTCTGCATCAGTGCCTGCCTCCAGGTTCCTGTGCTGTTTGAGTTCCTGTCCTGACTTCTATTGAGGATGAGGCAGTACTGTGTAAATAAAAAAAAAAATGCTTTTCTTCCCAAGTTGCTCTGGCTATGGTGTTTCGTCACAGTGAGACCTATGTAACTAAGGCAGTCTCACATCTCACTGTGAGAGAATTAGGTTACTGATGCTACTATGCCTGGCTTTCGTGTGGACTCTAGAGATTCACACTTAGGTCTTCATGCTTGTATGGTGTAGGGGGTTGAGTGAAAAATGCCCTCCATAGGTCTCATTTGGTGATGCTGCTTACAGGGGATTGTGGGACTTTAGGGAGTGCAGCCTTCCTGAGAAAGTGCGTCACCGGGAGTGGGCTTTTGAGAGTCTGCAGTCTCATCCTGCTTCCAGTTCACTCCCACTGTGTCCCGTCACATAGACAAAATGTGACCAGCTGGCTTCCCACTCCAGCTGCCATGCCATCTCTGTGGTGAGATTTTGTTTGTGCTTTAGCAAATAAAACTTGCCAGAAGATCAGAGAAGCAGAGCAGCCAGCCACAAGTTCTTACCTCTACCTCGTCCTCACACCGAATGGTCGATCCTGTCTCTACAAGTCCTCAGACTGAATCCCATCTGTATGAAACCTCAGACTGAATCCTGAGCTCCTGTCTCCTCCCACCTTACATTCCTCATTCCTCTCTCTGCCCAGCCATATCACTTCCTGTTTCCACCTCCCTAATGCTTTGATTAAAAGTGTGAGTCACCACTGCTTGGCTCTGTTTCTCTTTTAGACTGATTCAATCTCGTGTAGCCCAGAGTGGCCTTGAACACACAGAGATCTGTCTGCCTCTGCCTTCTGTCTTCCGAGAACTGGGATTAAAGGTGTATGCCACTATTGCCTGGCTTCTATGGCTAACTAGTGACTTAGCTCTGCACTCTGATCTTCAGACAAGCTTTGTTATAGTACAAACAAAATATCACCACACATCTCCACCATTATGAATTCTTCCTCTTGAACTGTAAGCCCAAATAAGCCTCTCTTAAGCTGACTGTGGCCATGGTATTTTAGCATAGCAACAGAAAAGCAACTAATATACACAGCAATCTCTTTACCTTTTGAGCCTTTCCGTAGCTGCTATTTCATTGTCTTTTAATAGAAGATTGATTCTTAAATTCTAAATTATCAGTGTGTATGTATACACATGAGCATGGGTGCCCATGGAGGCCAGAAAAGAGCACTGAATTCCCCAAAGTTGGTGCTAGAGGGGGTTGTGAACCCCCAAATGTGGGTGCTGGGAACCAAACTTAGGCCCTCTGCAAGGGCAGCAGTACTTGAAACCACTGAGCCATCATCCCAAGTCACATTTCCTTATCTTAAAGGGTATAATTACTAAAGCTTTTATCCTGGGCTATGATCATTTTCCAAGTTTCATAACTCGCACAGATCACTACCACTTTTTACATAAGTCTCCTTTCCTGGCAGGTACATGCAGATAGAGAAGGCAGTGTGGATATGGTCCTATGCAAGGTCTAATAAATAGACGTGGTTAAAGGTAGTCATGATACCATTGGAAGGTACTCACCGTGCCTTCCGGGTCCACCAGCAGCAGATGCTTGGCCTGGCCATTGTGCATGCCCGTAAGGACAAAGGAACCAGGGTTGGTAGTACTCTTTCTGACTAGGAAGTCTCCATCTTCCTGCAACAGTGACTCTGCCTCCTTCCTGCTCATCTCTCCTTGGTACCAGGGTTCAGCATCAAGCTCCTCAAGCATCTTGGCATCTGGGGCTCTGGGTGAAACAGGGCTAATGCACTCCACAGATGCTGCCTTGCTCAACACGGGCCCCAGGGGCTGGTTCTTGAGAGCATCTTCAAAAGGCTCTGTCAACAACATATGACAGTCACAAATCAATCCCCGGAAGAGAGCAATAAAAATAGAGTAAGAGAGGAGAATTAAAATGTAACTCTTGACGGAGGCTGGCAGCAGAAATGGATAGTCGGAACTAGGATTTAAATGCAGCGCCCGAATGTTGGCATGACTCGCTGGTGAGTCTACTTCCCAGACAGCTGGGGGCTGGGCCTGGATCAGAGGATATGAGCACACACTTTGTCTGGCGGGATAGGACTCCAATGCTGTGCACTGCAAGAAGGCAGGTACAGCTTACCATTTCACACCACCTCCCTTCTCTGAACCGTTGGTTAGCCTCCGTAAGACCCCTTGTCCATTCCCACCTCACCCCTCACCAGCTGCAGCATTTGGGAGAGCAGGCCCTGCACCCCACCTGGGCAGCACAGTAGAACTGACCCTGTTGACAGGGGCCCTGGTGAGCGGCCGAGAATGTGAGCACGGAGGACCTGGTGCTGCCCCTCATCTGCTATAATTTGGAGTGGGCGAGGGAGAGATGCCACATTCCCACCCTTTGCCACCTGTGGCAGGTAGGAGAGCTGGCCCTGAGGCCATGAGAACGGGAGCTGCAGCACTCGGGAGAGTGGCCGCTGCACGTCACCTAGGCAACACAGTAGAGCTGGCCCTGAATGAGTAGGTGTGGGTGAGCCACCCCTGAGGTCATGAAAGCAGGAGATCTGTCCCTGCCCCCTCACCAGATCCAGCACTCAGGAGAGTGGGCCCTGCATGTCACCTAGGCAACACAGTAGAGCTGGCCCTGAAGGGGTAGGTGTAGGAGAACTGGTCCTGCCCCTGGCTCCTTGCTACATAGGGTGAACTAACTGGAGCAATGCTGGAGTTCACCCTGGTGGTGAGCACAAGAGCTAACTGGCAGGTTGGTCAACCTTGTAACCACCCAGGCTCAGAACCAGGGCTACAAGTTGACCCACCCCAACATCCACCCCATCTGTGATCTGCTGGAGCACATGAAGAGGCCAGTCCTGAAGACCCAAAACTGCAGGATCTCCACAACACAGTGTAACAACAGGATATCCAAGAGGAGTCCCAGTGAGGGCCCAGCATTGATAGCATCGCAGAAACCAGAGGCCTAAAGCCAGACCAATGGCTCTTGGCTGTAAACGATCATTGCAGGTAAAGACATATGCACTAAAGGATTTACGGCGTGACTCACTGGGTTGCACTACCGTTTCCACAATGAGATTTCTCTTTTCCCTTTTACTTTCTTTTTTTCTTCTCTCTCTTTTTTTTCTCTTAAATCTTATTTTATTTTGGGAGAAGGATACAAGGGCAGAGGGTGGATATGAAAGGATGGGGAGATGACTGGGATCGAGATGTATGATGTGTAAGCCACAAGGAATAAAAAGTAAAAGGAAGGAGGAGGAGGAGGAAGAGGGGGAGGAGAAGGAGAAGAAGAAGAAGAAGAAGAAGAAGAAGAAGAAGAAGAAGAAGAAG